GACACACACACACAGAAAAACAAAGAGAGAGAGAGAGAGAGAGAGAGAGAGAGAGAGAGAGAGAGAGAGAGAGAGAGAGAATGCTCTGATTTGAAATCAGGCTATGCATCTGTTCCCGCCCCCCCTTTTGTTTCATTGTTGAACTATGTGTGAAATCAGACTGCACTCCAACTTGCTTTCGACATGCATACACGCAGACTGATAGTAAAACCAAACTCTTTCAACTCAGAATCAATAACGAACTTGCAATTAAACTCTGTTCAAAGCAACTGTACAGCTTCCGGCTATGGCCGCCGAACAATGTCTCCACCGCCAGCCTCAGTGTCTCTCATGTATGCACAAACGAGGATCTACCCGAGTGTCCACGCCACACAGACACACACTCTCTGTACATTCTGTCTGTGACAACAGCTGGGCGGCTACGGCCGCCGTCATCTTCCTCCTCCTAGCTATGGCCGCCGTCGTCTTCCTCCTGGCCAGCTATGGCCGTCGTCTTCCTCACTGCCCACTTCAGCTCCGGGCACCTGCAGACCTCCACGCACAAGTCACGAAGGCAGCGCTTCCGCATGGCTCACAGGCGAATGAATGAATGGCTGGTCGCTGCCTCTTTATTTATACTCCTCCGCAGGTGGCCTGGCCCTGCCTCAAAACGTGTTAGCCTGGGCCGCAAACCGCGCGGGCGTGGGCCTGGAAGCCTCCAGAACACGTTGGCGTGCCGGGCCAAAACGTGTGGAACCTGTGGGAAACCGCGTGGGACCCTCACCACTTGCTTGGCACTTGCTGACTGGACGCGGCTGAGACATACCTGCGACATTCTAGAACCTACAGACTTGGCCTTTCACTACAGCTAAGGCTACAGACTGACTGACCCTTGGACCCACTTAGAGACAGGTATAGGGTTCCAGAAGGCCTAAACTAAACCCAATGGTAACGTACTATCCTACTAATACGAAGATCTATGGATCAAGCTCAACTGACTAACTTACTGCCTAACCTACGACTCAGGACTGGTCACGCGTTCGAATCTCACTCAGAACACAGAGTCTATGTGCAGGGTTAGGGCACAGGTCAAGGGATCGAGTCTCAGTGTCTGCAAATGTCATGTCATCGGGTGAAACCGTTTCATGGGATGGGAGTAGGTTGAAACCACATGTCCCAAAAAAAAAATGGAAAAAAAAAAAAGGTTGAAACCACATCTAGATTCGAGGGCTTTTGAACCGCGCTATAGTTGCATTTTGTGAATATTTTTGTTTTCTCTGCTAACCAGAGCTTGGTGGCTATGCTTGTCTGCAGACTAGTTGCTGCTGTTTAACGATCGTCGTTGCATGGTTTGTTAGGCCAGTTGCTATTGTTTTCCTGCAGTGCTTAGCAGAGATATCCAGTCACCAGGTGATGTCACACTGTCAACTTACAAAAAACAAAGCAAGAAAATACAACGAGTAACTAATTGCGTTTTTTTTTTTTTTTTGGTCTTCTTTCTTTTTTTTTTTGGGGGGGGGGTGTATTTGGCTCTGTACAGGTGTTTGCTCTTTCCATTCAGCCCATTCTGCAAGGGAAAGGAGGGTGCAAGGCGACGAGAAGCCATTGCTTTAAGGTGAGATAGTGTGCAAAATTGCAAATCTAACAATCTATTATTGTGTGCTCGATGAATTGTGGCTACTCTGGCTGCCATCACTGGTAAAGCTAATGGAGTGTTAGGTAACGGAGAGGTGGATGTGGATTTTCCTTCTTTCCCCCCCCCCCTTTTGACGGCCTTGATATGTCATCATTGAACCGACGGCCCCAGTTCAGAAATATTTTATTCTCCTCATCTGATTCAATGTGGATTTGAATTCTGGTGAATCTGGTCCGTATATTTCAACAGTTCATGGGTGGACCGACTGCGCTAGGGTTGTTGGTAGGGGTGAAGGAAGGTGGTAGGTAACAAAGCAGATAGGGATGAGTAGTGCGGATTGCAGTTTGCGAGACTCTCAAGGGTTTGTTGAGTTCTGGTTGTTGTTCGATGTCGTTATCCGACGCTGCTCTTCGTCGCCTTTTCTGAGTGATTTAAAAAGCGATTTCGAGCTCCCCTGCTGCTATCTTCGCGCTATGGCAGGAAGCACTTCATCCGGTTTGCATTTGCTTTATGACCAGGTTCATTGTTTGTTTTCTAGGCTCGGAAGTAGGACGAGTGGGATCTCGTCCTAGCTTAGGTGCTCAGATCTTCTGGATTTCTTCCTGTGGTGTCTGAAGTTCCGAACACTTATATCAAAGGTCCGGTTGGATGTGGTGATTGAACCTGGACTTGTGATTTTTGTGAAGGCTTTTTCCTGCGCTGGAGGCGTTCATCAAGGAGCTATCGACGAAGCAAGACGTGCTGATTCTGATTCAGGTCTGGCAGCTCTCTTACCTAGCGGCTTTTTCTGTTTTCCAAAGCAAACTAGTTCATGGATTGGCCAACATTGCAGCGCCTCTTCTTAGTAGTCTTCAGTTGTTTTCTATTGATGTAATGTTGTCAAGCGCAAACGATCTGGCTCCTCGTGGCCCTTTTTCGGCCCTTTTTCTTCCCTCTATTCCTGTTTCTATGTTTTTGTTTATGTAACATTTTTCAGTTTCTACTTACCCTCTAATCGCCTCTATCATAATCAGCTTCGTGACTCGGCGACAAGCATGATAAAAAGCCGACCAGTGTTTCTCGGCCAGGCGGGCATGGCCAGGCCACTGAGGAAAAGCAACCCTGGTTTTCTGGCCATGCACACCTGGCTGAGCGACTCTGGTTGGCTTGTTATCATATGCTTGTTGCCGAAACCAGGCAGTTAAATATTGGAGCAAGAAGTGCACAAACCTCCTTCAAGTTGTAAGAAGCAACAAGTTAAGAAAAGAAATCTGGCCTCTGGCTGGATCTGCCATCATCTGGAGGTGTCAGAAAAAGGGCGTAACACTGTAAATGGCGTAAAAAAAAGACCCTCAAAATCACAAAATTGCAAAATGGAGGTCTCAGAGTATACTCGCACTAGGCCCTGAAAAATCGCAAAATGAGCGGCCATATCGAGTCCTTCGTTGACCAGAACTCGATCTGGCCAGTCATTGTGCTATTTTTAGTATTTTGCGATTTTGAGGGCCTAGTGTGAGTATGGGCCTCGCCACACCTATCCCGAAAACACCGATTTGGAGAGGAAACGCAGGGCCATACCAACTCTCAAAAATAGGTGTCAGAAAATTTTTCGAGAGTGGCCAGAGCGCGGGTTTCAGGAGTGCTCGTGAACTGTGGTCGTTGCCCCGCCTGCAAAGTTGCCACTTTTGAGAGTGGTCGAAGGCACCTCCGATTTTGCCCCAAATTTCGAGAGTGTGCCGCGTCGGACAACCGTCTGCGGCTGAGAGACTCTTGAACCGAGGCCTCGGTCCACTACTCAGCACATGCACAAAAGACAAAATCTGGCGGTGTATCTTTCCATGGTCTAGCAGAAGATTCATTCTCATTTTGCACATTTGGTGAGTACTGGAGCAAGGCGCTTGCACCGCCACACTGCACTCTCGAAAAACGCAGTTCTCTTCCGACACAGTGGAGAGCGCCCCCTTCGAGAGCGCAGTATGGCGATGAGGCCTCTCCAACCGTTTTTCGCGATTTCCCGAGTTGGAGAGCGCTCTCGAAGATTTTTCCGTTTTCGGGATAGGTGTGGCGAGGCCCTATGCCCTCAATACGCTCATTTTAACATTCTGTTTTTCGGACTTTTCCTTTTTCAGTGAGGAATCTAGAGGTTACCCTCAGGCAAAAGTTGTTTGCATTTCGATTCTAGCCCACGTAAAAAAAAATAAAAAAAATAAAAATTGTCCCTTACGTCCAAGACACACACCACACTTCCTTCCAGTATAGCTGAAGGACTCTGAGACAGTGGCGGCATTGATTGCTCCCTCGTTAGAGGGAGGGTTTACCACTTCTGCGCCTCTGCGATAAGCGCTTATCCTCACCTGTCTGTCACCTAGACTGCCGCCTGTCCCTTAGCTGCAAAAGCGGCTCCAGCGTTCGTTTGTCCCATTACTGTGTTGGAACTGGGTCCACAGCATTCCATACCCCCCGTCCCTAGGAAGAAGTTATGATAAGACTAGAGGGTTACCCCCAGCTGCCAGTCTCCTAGGCAACTTTATGTTTTTTGTATTTTTTTCTAATAGTTTGCTGGCACTGCCCAGTACGCTGCTCAAGCAGACTGGCCTGCCAACCAGGTTAGACACCGGGGCACTGCGCTGGTAGCCGTGCGTGCTGTAACAGGATTTTTTTAAAAATAATAAACAAAACCTACAATCTAGCCGTGGAGAGCAGCACGCGCTGCGAACTGGGCCCAGTGTCCCATATGAAAATTCTTACAGAACAAAATGAAGTACCGGGGCCATTACCCGGCGTTGGCTGAGACAAACAAATCTTAGAAGTTAAACTGCCAGGACCATTATCCGGCTTCGTCTGAGACGAAAGGGTCATAGAGAAAACTACAGAACTATGCTATGAATCATAGAAGCATCCGAGTACCTAGGAGCCCTGAGTCTCTGTCCAACAGACCAAACCAATCTCTCCAAGGCTATCTTGTTCCCTGCCAAACTCCCACAGGCTTTTCACCCCAATCCTGCTAGGTTACAGGACGACACGACTCGCCCCAGCTCCGACCGACATCACCTCAGCAGCAACCCCGGTTGTCCCTTGGAATGCACCCCCTAAGCATCTCCCCAGATCTCTCTACCAGGCTTCACGCCCCCGCCAACAGCAGGTTACAGGGCTCTAACGGGATATGGAATGAGGGTGTGGCTGTATTCCCTGTGCAAGGAGGTGGCCCTCTCAACAATATAAGATGTGTGTATATGGCTGAAGCAGCTGGCAGCACCGGGGTTAATTCCCTGTGCAAGGGGGCGGGGGTGCAGGGGCGCGGGGTGCAGGGTTGCGGGGTGCAGGGTTGGCGGCGGTGGGCGCGGGGTTGATTTGCCTCGTGTGGGGGTGAACATGGGGGTGGGAGCAGGGGCTG